AAACAGAATATAATATAAAGATGTTGAATAATATTGCAATGCTCTATGATTTATGGAGAATTCTGTTTTTCTTTTGTTTGTGAGGATTCTTACACTCACCTGTTTAATGCTATGTCAGTAACTTCTTTCTCTTTTTAATCTTCACAGTATGAGAGAATACCCTATAGGTATTCTGTTGAATTTATGTGGTTAGTAAACAAATAAGAAAGCCCATCAGATTAGGACTAGCGGTCTAGGAAAAGAGCTAGCCAAAAATGGGGAATTTCCATTCCATAAGAAATTCTTATGGAATTTCCATTCCATAAGAAGATTTTTTTGCAATTTGTTTTTGTATTTAACACTCTAAAACTAAACAAACAACGATGGTTGTCTCTTTTGGATTAAGTAGTACTCTATATATTTCCACAGTTTTCAGATGTTCCTGCCTTGTACACTTTGASTGGTTGTGCTGCTCAGAGCTGGGCTTCACTGGACATGCTCAGTGAAATGCAACCCAGCTGGCTGGAAGTCCCCGCTCTGCTGTAATGCATAGGCTACAAACAAGAGGCCCAAACTTCCTGTGAAGCACAGTGGTAACTGAGACAGATGCAGAAATGCATATTCGATATGAAACACAATGTTTGTTTACAAAGAAACAAAACAAAGAACCTGTATATTTTGACTGGAACCAGCTTGAGCCTCAGAGAAATGCCTTCCAGTAGAAAACTGAGACTGACAACAGGATTGAAGCAATTAGGCTAATTCTAGTTCTGCAAAACATATGTTTCCAAAGAGAATTGTTTGTATAAGGAAAGATCTGAGCAGATCTTCTTTGTTGTCTTCATGATATAACGTATCTAAACTTTTTAAAAGAATGGAATTTTTTCCCAAAAAACTGTGGTGTCATTTTTTTTTTTTTGTTCTATAAACAATCCCATGGTCCTAGTGAGGTGAGAAGTAACAGAGAACAGTAAAATACAAACCAAGGGTAGAGTTGGAGATGAAAATCTTATGGTAAGTTTATGCATAATGCAGGATATGCAAAAAACACGCAAATACACTGGGAACAGTATGAATCTCTTCCTTTAAAGTTTAAACCAAAGGTCACAAAAGTCTCTATCGGATTTTGTTYTGGGCAAAACTGAAATTATAATTTTAAATAATGGTAAATCATTTGAGTCTATGTATACATATCTATCTATCTATCTATCTATCTATCTATCTATCTATCTATCTATCTATCTGGATATCCCTCCAAATACACTAAATAATATTTAGGACATAAAAGAGAGAGAGACTGCAAACATACATTTTCAGAAACTGCTTACTATCAGGTAGAATTTGAAGTTATATTTGTTTGACTTGGTAAATGTGATCTTCCTCTTTAAGTTCATCCTTAAATTTTAAAGCATAATTTGTTTTGATTGAATTTCTAATGTTAATTAGTGAGGCTTGCACTGTTAAAGACATCAAGAACATATAATTATGTTCCTTATAATTATACCATAATTGTTTTAGTATGTTAAATGATCTAATAGATTTTTTCCTGTTTCAACAGCAGCATTACTACCATCTCTGTTTTATGAAATAACTGGCAAGCATTCAGTAGGTGCTTTCAAGCATTTCAAGTAAAGTTTTGATGGGTATTCATCTACTAATGAAATATTCATGCATTATATTTTTCTCTATGACAAGTGACTTTCACTGAAGCGCCTAATGCTTGGTTTGCTTAGACAGATATAACATTCAATCAAACTAATGGAAACTCTGGAGTACTGTTATACTGGTTATTATTAAATCAAATTCTCTTGATAAATATTGAGTCTCTGATGTTAAAAAGCATTTCTAGCATGATGCATGGATAGCAAAGCAATAATCTGGCCCCTTGTTAAAAATGTTAATATTACAGCTGTCATCATTTAACGATTAGCATGATTTCCCAAGTGCAGAAACGCCTTTATCTTAGAGCGTTAAAAAATACAATCTGTATGTTGTTTGAGATTTTCCATATTGGGTAGGCATTCATTCCTGATATAGAACACTTGGACAAGTTTGTATTACCAGCAATGTATGTATACTTTCTCTGCTTAAAATGTAATATTTCCTTCAAGTACCATTACTTTCACCCATGTCAATACAAAGAAATCAGTTTTGCTAATTTCACAGGCAGGAAGCTAACGATCCTCTTACAAAACAGCTGGTAAAGGCCTCTAGAGAATTGTCTGGTTATATTGATGTTTTTTTTCCTACTTGCTGTCTGGTTGCTAAATTTAATTAAATGAATCTAAAAAAAATCAAATGTTTTCCTGCGATATTTTTCCCCATGCATTCTTTTGATAATTTTTGCCAGAAAAACTTGGTGCAAATGTGAAGTGGTTGACAAAACAATGAATAAAACATGCTTCATGCCAGGCTTTTAATTTATTAAATTAAAGTTCAGAGGTCAATATTATGCTTAATTTTACCACTTCTGCATATATATGGAAGTTGTGACTCCATCAGCTTAAATATCCCTAGTCAACATGAGGCCATGGAGGAGGAGGAGGCACAAAAATGTCAGGAGGYTTGTGCACCTCTCAAGAGGTGCTGAAGAGAGGCTGAGACAGCTGAGGTTGTTCAGCCTGGACAAGAGAAGGCTCCATGGAAACCTTATAGCAGACTTCCTGTACTTCTCCCAGAAAGCTGAAGAGAGACTTTTTCCAAGGGCACACAGTGATTGGGCAAAGGGGGATTTGGCTTTAGACCAAAAGAGGATATGTTTAGATTAGATATTAGGAACGGGGTATTAGATATTAGACACTGGAATAGGTTAYCCAGAGAAGCTGTAAATACCCCATCCCCATAAGTGATCAAGGCCAGGTTGGATGGTGCCCTGGACAAYTTGGTTTAGTGGAAGGTGTTCCTACTCATGGCAGGGGTGTTAGAACTCGATGATATCTAAGGGCCCTTCCAGCTGAAATCATTCTATGATTCTGTGAACTCTAGGTTCATCATTCTTTAGCAGACACCGTAGTGGCTTCTTCTATGGATCAGAAGGGATTCGGTGTAAGAGCCAGTTCATGAGGGAAAGTGCCAAAGGAATGCTGGGAAACAAGATGCAGAGACGATCAGTAATGAAATCACAGTTTGATTCAAATTAAAGGAATGACCAAACATACAAAAATATTTCACCAAATATTTAACCTGTTCTAAGGCATCCATAAAATAGACACTGAAGGTCACACCCTCTATAAATAGAAAAAATTCACAGGCCCTGGTGAAAAAAAGTTGTCCTTTCTCATCACATGCCATAAAGGCACACAATTCTCTGCTTTCACAAAGGAGTTTATAATACACGGATATGGGGTGTATACAATGTACAATATTCTGGGATCAGGTAACCCTTGCTTGAAAYTAAAAATTAGATCCAGATGCATTCTGAAGTCTGTATGAATGGGTTTGGAAAACTGCCTAAAATCTAAGCTAACCTACTGAGTCATCAGCATGTAGTGGCCTCCTTTGTCACCCTGCAGGTGTTGAAACTGTGAAAAGGTGTCAACACCAGGAGGACTGAAACTTATTCCTTCTTGTGGATCTGATTCTGCCAGTTTTACATTGAAATATTTGATTTAAAATAGTATTGTACATTATTCARGGCTCAGCTAAATTATTCTTTTGACACTGCTGATTTGTTTTCTTTCTTTTTTTYACATTTAAATTTAGAAGAGCAAAGCATGGTGCTAGGAAAATTAGGAAATGTGTATAAAATTACGGAGCAGTAACTCTGTAGGGAAAATGTTTACTCTGCAGGCTTTTCTCTTTAAAACACAACTGCTTTAAAGTATCACATTAAATTCTAATGTGTGTGTATTTAAAGAAGGCACAATATATGTGAGAAAAAAAACATGAAGTGCGCAAGGTGGGGCTGCTGTGGCTAAGCACTACTTCTAGCAGAATACTACAGTAGTGCCATGAAATCCTACGTAAGTGGTCAGAACATAAGTAAGAGCTGCCTGTGGGTAGTCCCAACCTATTCACAAGCCCTTTTGAACAATTTTCCTACTTTTTTAAATACTGTTTTTGGCAAACATTTGATACTTGAAATACAAAATGCATGAGTCACCTACTGAGATGGGCACAGTATGTGGTTCATTGAATTTAGCTAAATTGTGAGTAATCTATCAATAGTCCTCATAGTGAACATACTTGTAATAATTTCACACATTACAAACAAGAGTAGGTATGATTTTTCAAGATTTTTTCCAAGCATTTTTCAATGYGAGTTTTTACTTTTTTTACTCCATTTATTGTTGTAGAAAATTGCTAACTTTTAAATGGAGGATAAAAAGAAAAGGTAGCATATTGCTCGTCAGTTTAAACAACAAAGAATCAGAAAAGCAAAACCTGACATATTATAAAATACTGTCTTACAAAGCAAAGTCCTCAACATGAGATTGAATGAATACAGATTCTTATGCAGCTATTGAGGTTTCTTCTGTCAGCATACCAATTTCTGTTGAGATGGGTAATTTTAAAATTCAGAAGGAGCAGTTCTGAAGGAGAGAGCCGCAAATCACAGATTCTGACTTGCCAAGAACATGGTCATTTCTTGTGGGCTTTTTGGGGTTTGGGGTTTTTTGTGCGTCTGCAGATTGTGGTTTTGTTTTTGGTTTTGTTTGGTTGTGTTTGTGTTATTTTTAAAGAGGAAAACTAGTAAGTGGACCAAAAAAAGAGGTGAAAAGCATGTGTGTATAAAATAGCATTGTAACTGTGGTTTGTTGGATACAGGGAATATAATCTCTTTGCTGCAGAGAAATATGAACATTTGGGCATAAAATCTTTGAGAAGCTTTTTAAACAAATTTCTTGGAGGAACAGGAATTCAGATCCCTATGATGAACGTGAGGGGTGGACAACCCCCAAATATTTCCCTTTAATGGCAGTTTCTGATAAGAATCTTTCCCCGAATGCTTTTCATGAGTGTGAATGATTATACATGCATTTAAATTTGTCCCTGAAGGAGTTACTTCAGTAGCTATTTGAGCTTTGGAAGCTGTGAAGGCCCGTGCTCCCAGCACAGAAAGCAGCCCCCGCTCGGCTCTTTCCTCTTGCGCCCMGTATTTTATTCTCCGGAAGACCACCCGGCTCCGGGAACTTCCCGTGCGCGACCCTGACGATGGAATAACTGGTGTGTTATGATAAATCGGTA